TTTAGTAAATAAAATTGCTAGTGACCTTAAGAATCATTTTCATGAAGTTCAAAATCTTAGAAGGGATTTGGGATCAATGCGACAGATCTATAACGAATTTCAGGGTGAAACAAAAAAATTGTTCGAATCTTTGTCTACTCAAACCGAGTCTGTTAAACAAGTTGCTTTGAAGAATGTTGGGTCTTCACGTTCATTCATTGATAGTGGCAAAGCAAAATTGGACTCTCGATCAACGGATCTACTTGGTAAAGTTGACGAGCTCCAGGACATTATAGATAGGATGAAATCAGACGTTGTAAAGAGGGGTGCTAAGCCACCACCCACGGAAATTCAACATGTTAAACAAGAATCAACAGCTGTTGCTAAAGAGCTTTCTGCTTTGCAAGAATATGTAAAAACTGTCAAGCCAACATGGAAGCAAACATGGAAGCAAGAGTTGCAAATGATTGTTGATGAACAGCAATTTTTAAATCATCAAGAAGAGCTTTTAGAGGATTTACAAGAAGATCACAAAAAATTAACTGAAGTTTTCAATACTATTCTTAAAGTAATTAAGTCCCCTGGTCAAACAAAAGTATTTGTACCTCCTACAGCGGAAGAAGGTTTTGAAGGTTTAAAAACTGTTCTACAGGAAGTTCGGGGGATTGCACCTGATCATGAGCGGCGATTAAAAGCTTTACAGGCAGCTGAAAAGCAGCGCGAACGTGATTTAGCCAATCGTATTGACGAATTTGAGGCTGAATTAACAGATTTTGTTGGTCAAAATAAGTTAAAAAAGACTGGTGGTGCACAAGAGGTAGAAAGACTACGTCAAAAGAAAAATGAAGAAGCATTAAAAGAGCTTTACAAGACTGAAAAAAATGAATCATCTTGACGTTATTTTCTTGCACACGGACGGCCTTTGGACTTTATAAAATTGACGGCATTATGTAAATAACACATAATTTTTAGATAACAATCTTTAAATTACTGGAAATTTGTGTATTCATTTTACTGATTTATGTTATTAGCTATTCGAAATGGATTTAACGAAAAAAATTTTTATGTATCAAATTATGATTATTGTACCAGGCAATTTTATGTTTATCTAAAACAAATTAAAGAATAATATTCTAACATTATTGTAAATATTTATTATTTATTATACTAGTGTTAAGATTTTAATCATAATTGTATTTATTTTTTATAAAATGTATAATTTTAAAGAAACTTTAATTTATATCATATAAAACGTATAATTTGTTAGTGTTGGCCAATAACCCAAGTTATAACATTGTTTACAATTACAATTATAGCGACAGATCATCCTACCAACAGAAGGAAAAGTTTCCGGACACCTGTCATTGTGCTGTTTCAAATTTTTTAATTTTTTTCTAAATGTTAAGCGAAGGGTTTTTATCGATAACTGATCATGGTTAAGAAACCTTTGTTTCAAATCCTTTTTTTTTTAAAAAAAAAAGTTTATGGAAAATAGACTCCATTGTTATCGTTATAGCTCTTTTCAAGGAAATTTAGGGTCGTCTAAAGCCAGTTGCGTTTACGTGACTAACAGCCAATCAAGTCGTAAAACTTTGACTTACCCGGATTAGCCCGACGAGACAAAAAATGCAAAAAAAATACAAAAAAAACGAGTGTCTAAACCTGTCTTGGGGTATTGGTAAAAAAATATCGGGAAAACAATTTATAAGATATGTCTCATTCCTAACTAGGGATCGTTTAACTGTGTTAACCGTTTAATTCAACCGGCATTAAAATAATTTCGGCCCACAGCCAACATAATTCTGCCCGGAACTATAAACCAATTTTTTAAATGGCTAAACGGCTAAACGATTCCAATCACTATAACTAATCCTTATCTTAATTTTAATTAAAAAATAATCAAAAATATATAAATGTATCTGAAATCATTTTTTATACTAGATAAGGTTTTAACTATATTATAAAAATTAAAGTTTTTTTTACTTTGACAGTTTTGTTAATATTTTTTATTAAAGTTTTTTTTTTGTTTATAGATTAAGCTTATTCAAAAATTATATAAATTTTATCTATATTATGATTAATTTAATCAAACAGAAGATTCACCCAATTTTTGTTCAGATGTGATTTACCTCAGTAGTCATTGGTTTTTTTTTGGGTTCTTAACTTATTAAGAACTTATTTCTTTTTAATAATAGATTGGTAGCTATATGTCTTGTCAGAACTATCTAGTTATTTTTATATTCTACAACATAATTATGCTTTGGCTAAGGTTAGTATTTGCAAATAATATTAAATATTAAATTGTTAATTTTTTGCAAAAATTATTATATTGTAGAATTTTATTATTTAATATATAGTGTACTGTGATATACTGGTATATACAGATTACTAGAATTAAAAGTTTAATTATAAATAATCATATAAAAATAAACAATGCTTACTAATTTTGATTTTTATTTTCTCTTTAAAAATTAGTTAGTATATTAAACAATACTAAAATAAATCTAAACAATTTTTTTTTTTTTTTTTTTTTTTTTTTTAAAGTGACCTCTTGGTCGATTCTCTTTTATTCAGTTATTAGTCAAGTTTTACCATACGCTAAGCCCTTACGACGCCCGTACAGTATACATATTTTGGAGAGTACAAACTAGCCACATGTACAACTTTTGATTGCCTATTT